ATTATCATGCTACTATTTATTTCCAGCCGTACGCCCATTGTGTAATATAGTGTACCTGGCGGTTATTTGAATCTGTTCAACCATGAAGCCTATGTGGTCTAATGGTTATGACGTTCGCCTTGACAGTGTCGCAGGTTCGAATCCCGTTTGAGACATTTTATTACACAATGTATTTATTTATTTATTTATTTAAAGGACCAGTCTATAATCTGTCTAATTGATATTTGTAGTTAAAATGACCGGATATGCACTTAGACCGTTGACCCACAATCAAAGACAATATTTATATCTCCATAACTACTAGATTTAGAGACTTACAACTAACCAACCAACCAACCAAATAAACAATCAATCAATCATTTAAACAAGCTTTTGTATTATTGGTACAAATCGCTTTAATTTCTGTAAATCTATTCAATGAAGAATAAACTCTATTTAGATACCGCAAAACCTCGAATAGAAGCCCAATCTCGAGAAGAAACCCATTTCCAATTGAAGCCTCCCTCTTCAGTTTGCAAAAGTAGCCTCAAAAGAAGCCCAACTCGAAAAGAAGCCCATGGGCTTCTTTTCAGAATAGCTATGGGCTTCTTTTCGAGATAGTACACTACATACACTGTACATAAATTTCAAAGAAAAATAATAAATTAAAAACACGCTTGGTTTATACAGAAGTTGCCGGTTAATACACTTCATGATACAGATTCATGTTACAGTGGTGTAGTAATTCCCAAAATTTACAACAATCATTTTGAAAAGAAGCCCCATAAAAGTAGTCTCGAAAAGTAGCCTATCTTAAACTTCGCTAAAAAAAAAGAAAAAGAAAAAAAAAAAAAGGAGTGCAGGGCTTCAATTCGAGGTTTTACGGTACTGTATATTGAATTTAAAAGAAATGTGCTAACCGTTGGTTCTGAGTAGTATTGGGCTAAGAAACTGATAACAAACTGATACAAGCATGCAGAGGAAGAGGTGTATAACTTACCAAAATTGCGAAATCAGAGCGGTACGTCTAGTAAGATTCCTATCGGCTATCAACACTAAGTGTAATAAGTAAAATAATTCATTTTGGTATGTCACATGTAAAAAATATTCACTTCCTTTCCAATGCAGTAAGCGATGATTCCTTGGCACGTCACACTTGGTACATTACAGCGTGCTTCTAGATTATCTGCATTAAGACCGCTTTTAGAGAGTCGCGCTGCAAAAAAATGTTTTCCTCACTATTTTACCTACTTCTTTCGTATGTCCTCGATCCGGTTATAATTTATTGTAACACGCGGTGTAAACCAAATATTAGACTACTCTGGCCGCGGGACTTGACGACTCTCCGGGGCGTCCTTGCAACTTACAATCAATACAAATACTAATCTCGCGTGTGGATGGCAGCCTCAAAAAATCCCAAATGTCATCTCAAGTATTGATTAAGCTTTCGCTTATATTTTCAAATATCTTGATTGATTAGCATAGTTCCTGGGGATGCAAGAGTCAAATTACTAGCTAAAACAATACTTGGAGACATTTACATAA